CACTCACCTCAGTCTCCCAAAGGCGCGGGATTACAGGCTGAGCCACCGAGCCTGGCTCTACTTTCTTTTTTGCTGAGAAAAATACTGTCTAAAGAGTGTCCATGGGTGCGTCTAAACCCTGCGAGTTGGTCTGCTTTCTCAGTCATCAGAGGAATGATAGTTAACCTAAAATTAACCCCTCTAAATTACATAGCTACTGGAAGACATTGCTCCAGCAATTCTCCCTCTCCTACCTCCACCACCAACTCATTACACCCCTGGCTCATTCCCTACATTGTTACTTCTGTTAAAAACAACTCATCCATAGCCAGGCATGGTGGTGCGTGCCTGTAGTTCCAGCTACTTGGAAGGCTGAGGTGGCCTCGACCCAGCAGGTCAAGGCTGCGGGGGCCAGGAGCGTGCCACTGCCTTCCAGCCTGGGTGACAAAGTAAGACTCCAACTAAAAAAAACCCCAACCAACCAAACAAACAAAAACAACTCATCCAGCCTGGGCCACACAGTGAGATCTCATCTTTACAAAAAAATCAAAAAATTAGCTGAGTGTGGTGTTGTACACCTATAGTCCCAGCTACTCAGGAGGCTGAGGTGGAAGGATTGCCTGAGCTAAGGAGAAAGAGGCTGTGGTAAGCCATGATTGTGCCACTGCGCTCCGACAAAACAAAACAAAAAACTCATAACCACTTTCCCCACTGCCTCATGTCTTTGCTCCCCTTTGCTGAACATCTCAAGAGAGCGGTCTACACTTGCAGTTTCTGATTCATCTGCTCTCAATCTCCCCAAACACATCCTTAATGAAGCTCTGTGCTCAGTGAAGTCATCAATGATCTCCAGGTGGCTAACTTCCCTGGTCAGTTCTCTTTCTTGACTCCTGAGCAGCATCTGATACAGCTGCTCATCCCTGTCCCCTAATGCACCCCATTCACTTGACCTCCAGGACACCCCTCTTCAATCTCCCCTAGCATTTCGTGGTTTCTTTTCCTCCTCTCCCCAGCCCCCTCCCCCAGGACTTCACTTGTTCCGTTCTTGTCTCCCTTCATCCCTTGGGCTTCTCATACAATTTCACAGTTCAATGAATGCTGGTGACTCTAAAATTTGTACCTCTGGGCCAAGCTTCATAATCTGCCCCGTCCACCCCTGCTCTACATCCCCTCTCAGCACAGCCACACTTGACTCTGTCAGTCTCCCATGGACCACTCCCTGCCACTGAGGGTCTTGCTCTAGGTGTTCCCACTGCCTGGAATGCCCTCCTCCCTGCCTAGTCACCTGGCTCACTCCCTCACCTTCTCTGGCCTTTACTCAAATGTCACCTTGGTGATGAGGCCTATCTTGTCTCTTGCCACAGTCACTCCCAATTTCTCACTGAGTTGTTTTTTTCCCCATAGTTCCCATCACCTTCTGACATACTAGATAATCTATTCCGCTTATCATGCTCACTTTGTGTCTTTCTCCATCAGAATATAAGCTCCCCAAGGACAAGGATCTTGCTCTGTTGTCATCATTAAGACACCTCACAAACCTGTAACTAACTGTAACTAGCATATAATAGACACTCAAAATAAGTACTTGTTAATGAATGAATGAGTGAATGGAAAGGGAACGTTTGACGTTTCTTTACTCTCCAACAAGCCTGACATCTGATGAGCCTTTCAGAAAAGCATTCTAGGGAAGGATAACAGTAGACGGACGACAGTGAGTGTAAAGTCACTCCGAGGTGCCCAGACACAGTCCCAAGAGCATCACTTTTCGGGGAGTTGGAACAACTACCACCCAACTCAAATCACGGCTGTCCTATTACAGGAAAAATTCAGTCAATGGATGGAATTTTCTTAATTTAAAATGTTTTGACTAGGCACAGTGTCTCACGTCTGTAATCCTAGCACTTTGGGAGGACAAGGCAAGAGGACTGCTTTAGCCCAGGAATTCAAGATCAGCCTGGGCAACATAGTGAGACCTTATCCCAACAAAAAAATTGAAAAATGTGCCAGGCATGGTGTCATGTGCCTGTAGTCCCAAGTTCCCCGGGAGGCTGAACCCAGGAGGTCGAGGCTGCAGTGAGCCATGAATCTGAGTGACAGAGTGAGACCACCAACTCAAAAAATAAAATTAAATTAAAATTAAATATCTTGCACCTTGATAGATCTACCCAGGAAGAGGTTAAGGACAGACATGCACTGGCCACAGAGGAGCTGCCTTGAATTTCAAACAACAGTTCTAGTACCCTCTCTGCTTTTCCTGGTGGAAGTATCTTTTAAGAAGAAATAAACAAATCCGGCTTGGTGGCTCAGCCTGTAATCCCATGCCTTGGGAGGCTGAGGTGAGTGGATTGCCTG